GGCCCCGTGGCGCAAGCAAGACACCAGCGACTGGGGCAGAGCCATGGGGCGCAACTGGGGCAAGGACCGCGACTGCGGCAGGGGCACAGGGTGGACCCCCTGGCGCCAGCCAGAAGGTCAAGGCAGCTCTCACCACCGCCGTTACCCTGACCCCAGCCGTCCAAGGACAATCCATCGCGTCAGCTGGCCATGCCGCTCACACGAAACAGCAGTCACACACCTGAAGAGGCTGCGGGCTGAGGGGGAATACCACTTCACCGCAGCCTGGCACTCGTGGTGCAGGCATATGTGTAAGGAGCAGGGCAAAGGCAAATCCAAAGACGAGGCCGCGTTCGACCCGAACTGCTGGCAGCCCAAGATCATCCCCAAATTTCTGGAGGATATGGACAGCTGCAACCACCACGTGGAGGCGCAGCCTCGGCGCCCCGGCGCCCACGTGGATTGGGGCCGGGGAAAGGCCCTGTACCAGGATGTCCAGAAGAAAAGAGAGGTTGCCAAAGGTGAAGGGCGCGGGGAGGACCGGGCGCGCAGCTCCGGGTGCAACGGCAACTGGGCCGGGAAGCGCCCCAGGCGCTGACCTGCCTGCAACCGGACCCCCCTGCCAGGCGCAGCGTGCCGCGACCGACTTCTCTCCCGGCGACTTGCGGCAAGGTCCGTGTCCAACCCACCGCTGGCCACGCCCACCACCTGTTCCCCCTTCCCCCTCCTTCGTCACCTGGCTTGGGGCCGCGCGCCATCCTGTTCCCCCCCGCCTGCTCCCCCACGGCCTTGGCTGGAAGGCTGATCCAGGAGCCCGGCAGCCCACGGGCGCCCCCGTCGCGCGCACGGTGCAGGCGCGCGCAGCCTGACGGGCGCAGTAGCGGTGCACGCGGTGCGCGCACGGTCCACTAGCGGCGTCTGCCCATTGGCCCACCTGGTCCCCGACTGCGTTGCCTGCCCCCCCCCCCCCCCCCCCCTCCTGTCTTTAACGCGCATTGGGGCCGTGTGTCCCACCCGATCCCACTGGGGGCCCAACTCCTCCCACGTGAGCACCGATGGTGCGGGCTGGCACGTCAGCGGCTGGCGGTGAGCGCCTGCCCTTCTCCTTCCTGTTCGTTTCTCCCCCCCCCGCTCGCTTCCCCCCCTTTCATGGCGGCGGCGCCCGGCACTGCGCGGCTTCGGCCCGGCGCCAGGCGCCGCGCCTTGCCGCCTCGGCGGCCCCGCTCGCCATGGCGCTGCGCGGCTCAGGCCCGGCCCTTGGCATTGCGGACGTCAGCGCATCGCGCGTGGCTGTTGCCCGTCTTTACGCGCTGGCGATGCAGGGCGGGTTTCCCCCCTGCAGCTCGCCGACTTCCCGTCGGTCATGGGCGGCCCTGTCGTCTGGCGGCCGCACCTCAAGCTACGCTGCCACCTGGTCGTGGATTGGACAACCGCTCCGGGCCTCCTCCGCATCATCCGGTGCCACAACGTTGCTCATCGCCTTCGTGGTGCTCTTCACCCTCCTGGGCGTCGACCTGGCCAAGCGGCGCGTCCGCCCGTGCAGTGCTTGAGGCTGGTGTTCGCGAAGTACCGTTGTCGGCAACGCCATGTCCTTCGCCTTCCGGGTCTTCGCCCTCGGCCCCTGTCCATGGCGTACCTTTCCCTGCACGTCCGCTACGGCGCCGCCTGCTCCCCGGGCCCCGCCCGCTCCGCCCGCTTGAGGCCCCGCCTTCCTGTGCCCTGCCTCGCATAGCAAACATGCATGTATGTATGTTTGTATGTATGCATGTATGTTTGTATGCATGAATGTATGTATGCATGTATATATATATACACATATACCTATACGACCACCCTTCGGGTGATAAGGAGGTTCGGGGGGGGGGGGGGGGGGGGGGGGGGGGCCAACGTCTCATTCAATCGGTCTCATTATCGATCTCAGTATCGATATCACTATCGGTCTCGTTCGATCGACCTCACTTGATCGGTCCAACTCGATCTATCTCATTCGATCGATCTCACCATTGATCTCACAATCGATCTCACAATCGATCACACAATCGGTCTCGCATTCGGTCTCAATATCGATCTCACTATCGATATCACAACCGCTTTCACAATCAACGCCATCATCATCATCATCAACATCATCAACATCAACATCATCGCCAACATCGTGATCACCATGAGGACACAGTCATCAGCACCATAAACATCATCATCAACGTCAGCACCATCATCGGGACAACATCACCATCACCATCACCATCACCATCACCACCTCATCATCAACATCATCATCATCGGGGCACAGTCATCGTCATCATCATCAGCAGCATCATCATAATCATCATGATAATCGGGACACCATCATGATCACCATCGTTCTCTCCATCAACATTATCATCAACATCGTCATCATCCTCGGGACACCATCAACATCATGATCATCGCATCGTCATCAACAACATCATCATCGTCATTGGGGCACCATCATCATCATGAGCAACATCATCATCAATATCGTCATGATCATTGAAAACATCATCGGGACACCATCAGCATCACCATCATCATCATCACCATAATCATCATCATCAGCATCGTCATCGGGACACCATAATCATCATCAACATCATCATCATCATCATCAACATCATTATCGCCGGGACACCAGTTCCATCAACATCATCATCACCAACCTCATCGGAATCATCATCATCATCGTCGGGACACCATCATCGTCATCAGTAACATCAACATAATCATCATGAACATCATCATCCTCATCATCGGGACATTATCACCAACATCGACACCATCATCAACATCATCATCTTCATCGGGACACCATCATCATCATCTCATCATCATAATCATCATAATCATCATCATCATCATCATCATCATCTCATCATCATCATCATCATCATCCTCGCGGGACACCGCGGGACACCGGCGGGACACCGCGGGACACTGCGGGACACCGCGGGACACCGCGGGACACCGCGGGACACCGGCGGGACACCGCGGGGCCCCGGCCGCCCGGAAGGGAATCATTTGGTCCGGCCGCGCCTCAGCCACACGGGACACCAGCGGGACACCGGCGGGACACCGCGGGGCCCCGGCCGCCCGGAATGGAATCATTGGGTCCGGCCGCGCCTCAGCCACAGGAGACTTTCTCCCGCCCGTCCACGCAGCTTCGCCTCGCCCGCACGGCACACGAACACGAAACCGAAATCGATTTCCCGGTAGGGGGGCTCTCCGTTCCACTTCGATCTCACCCCCCAACCTCTGATATATATATATATATATATATATATATATATATATATATATGCATATATATATATATACGAATGAAATATATGTGTGTGTACGTATATATGTGTATATATATCTATATATATACACACTTACATATATTTATATATATATATATATATATATATATATATAATATATATATATATATATAATATATATTCCTCTTCCTATATTATATAAGGCAGGGGGGACCCCCCTCCCCCCCCCAAAAAAAATTGACTCCTGGGATCTGGGGCATTGGGACCCTCCAGGCAGACCTTGAAGCGGCCCCCCCGGGCCTCGCAGGGCGTTTGGCCAAGCCTTCCAAGCACACCTAGGGCGAGCAGAGGGGGTCATCGGAGACGTCCCAGAGACCCCCAGGACAGCACAAGAGCGCTCCAAGAGTGACCGACGTGACCTCAAGATGGCCCAAGAGGCCTCCAGGACGGCTCCAAAGAGGCTTCCAAGAGCACTCCCAAGAAGGCCCCAAGAGGCACAAATCATTGATTTTCTGAAGGTTTTTAGTGAGTTTGGGGGTTCTCCTCTTTTCGGTTTCCCGACGCTCCAAGACGGCAGTCTTCTGGGTTCCCGAAGCTGCTTGGGAGGTTCCAAAATCGGCCCACAACCATCCGAAGGGGCTTCCAGGCAGTCCAAGAGAGGCCCACAACTGCACAACACGGGTCCAAGATGGCCCTCAGAGAGCACCATGGGGGCCCAAGGTGGCCCCAAGACACCCTCCGAAGCATTCCAAATCGTGACCCGGTCCTTCAGGGAGACCGCGGTTGGAGGCCCCCAGAATACGCCCAGGAGGCCCCCAGAAGGCCTTCAGAAAGCCTGAAACAACTTTTGTGAGGCCCCCAGAGGCTCTCCAAGGACGAGCATCCGCACAAAAAAGCTGAGGAGGATGGGGAGAATGCGCAGGATATTGCGAAAATGACGAAAGAGAAGCATGGAGGAAGGACAACGAATAACATTATTATAGCGGCGATGCCAGAAAAGGCAACAATGAGTTATCGCTACATTGTCGGCCTCACCTTCCTGCTATTCCGCCTGCATACCAAACTTCAAGGACCAAGGTGCATGGCGCGAAGCGCCACTGCAGTCTTGTGTATATATGTGTATATATATACATATATACACCTCTCTCTATATTTATAATGTATATATACATATATATATATATATATATATATATATATATATATATCGGCCCCTTCCCTGGGGGTAGTGTTTCGCCCCAAATCCACTCTTGCTGTTCCTGGACCCCGATGACGGCCCCCAGAGGCCGAAACCCACGAAAAGACATTGTACTGGAAAAGCAATCCTCCGAATGTCTGGGCATGTCAGGCACGCGAGGAGCAGAAAGGTCTCCCCATCGGGTTCTGGAGCGCTCTCAAAGCGTTTTGGAACGCTCTGGAACGGCCGCGAGTCCCGATACATCCTTCAGAACCACCAGATCTCAGACATCCCCGCTTCGTACCGGTCTGATGTTGCCGCGGCCGTGGTTTCGTCTTGTCTGGGATCGCTGCGACACCAAAAGGTGTCCCAGTTTGTGCCGCCTGGCCGACCCCTGGACCCGTCCTGAGTCCAGAATTCCAGGGCGAATCCAGCGCGGCGACAGGGGCGCCCCAGGAGGCCTAGACAGGGAGGGAGGCCCCCGAAGACCTCGATCCTCGACGTTCGATCCTCGAAGTTCCTGGCTTCGTTCTAGCATGAGGCAGGAGGGCACACGCCAGGTGCGCCGTACTACGCCGGGATGGCGGCGCTGCGCACCGGCGCGGAGCCCCCCGCGGGGGCTGGGCTCCTGCTGAGGTGCCAGGGGTGCAGTCGGAACTGCGGGGCCAGGTCCAAATTTGGAACGGAAGGGGCTCGACCAAGACCCCCATCGCGTCGCGCAAACAAATCACAACGGAAGGTGTAGTTTACCATGTTCGGCCTCTTGGGCCCTCGCCGGGACCCCGGGCTGTAAAATATCAGCTCGTGATGAATAAGCGGTCCTGGGGAACGGATCGACACTTCTGGACATCCGCGTTGTGAGAAAATTATGATGTCGGGGTTCTGGCGATGTTTTTTGTATTCTCGGATCGATGTTCCTTGATTACGGCCTGGAACATTTGCTGAGCGTGTCGCGCCGTCAGTTCTGGCCCACCTTCGCTTCGGCGCGACACTCGAACCACTTTTCCAAGCGCGCGACATGATAATTGCTCAAACACGTCCTGGTCCCTAGGCGTCAACGTCTCGAGCCTTTCCCAGCTTCTCGCCCCGCGGAGCGGGGCGATACGCTATCCGCTCGCATGGCACAACGTGTCGCCGGGGCCGCAGCCGTGACAGGCTCCTTGCCCGGCCCATATCAGATGCAACCTAGGTAAAAAAGAGCGCCAGTCGAGCTACGCAAAGGCTAGGCCACTTGAAGCCCAGCTACGGATTGGAGGCTAGAGCTGAATATCAGCACTTGGAGACATTGTTTCACCGAGCTATGTCATGCGGCGTTGAGGCTGTGAGTATGCGAAGTTGTATTGCCTGTTGCACGTGGTGTGTTTTAAGTTTTTACTTGCAGGGTTGGGATCAAGTTGGTTGAACCACCGTGGAAAGCACGTGGACCGTAAGAGGCAATCTTCGTCGGGACATGATTGCAGTGACACGGGTGCCGGGACGAAGACCATTGCTTTTCATGTTGTGTGTTCGTTATGCATGGTTGATACTTTCCCATAGATCACACATTCTTTGATTTGATTAAAGAATTGATTGAACCAAGGTGGTTAGTAAGTGTATTGGCACTGCTCTGCACTGTGGCAATGGCGCCGGTGTGATGTCCAGTCTTGTAGAGGAGGTTGTACACGAGTTAGTTTCATATGTCCGGGGGATGAGCATCGCATTTGATAGTGATGCGAAGGTGCATTCCTAAGATTCAGATCGGGCTCGAGCCTTCTTGCTCGAGCAGGTTTGGCGCAGAGTCGATAGATTGAAGCCCTGTCGGTATCGCGACCTCATCGTCATGACCCGCGGGCTCAATGGCGAAGGCTAAGGCAATCCGTCCACATACTGATCATTCGAATGGTGCGCTGACCGTACTCGTCACACGCTTCAGCGCATCAATTTTCAATGTTGATTGGTTTCGCACCCATCGATCTGCACAACGTAACGTCTATTGACGTATTTCGCCCGTAGACTTCCCGACATGAGGACGTATCGTACCGTTTCTGCTGACAGTCCGAAACTAATTTGGTATCCTGGTTTGGGCAATATGAGGTCCTTTGAAGTCTCGAGCTGCTTCCCAGGGCCAGGTTCTCCTCCTGAATTGGTTTTGCGGTCCTGGGGCCCAGCGAGGGCTTCTGGAGGCGGAAAAATTGAGAAGAGACGCCTTGTTAGTGTTTTCAACACGCTGCTGGACGTTCGTGTACACGCCGATGCCTCCGCCCCCCCTCCAGCATGTACGCCGCAAATATCGGTCAGGCACTCAGGGAGAACACGCGTGTGACTTGGGATTTAGCAGGAGGCGGACATCAGCCTGGGCACATACACATCACAGCCACAAACACCCCGAACCGCGAGGGACAAAACCAGCCCTACCACCACCATCACCGAAGTGTACACTGCACGATGTTTGCGCGTCTCCGCACAAGGGCCAGAGACGAATCTTTCAGGCACGCCGCATGGTTGTGGGGTAAAAAGAAATGAGGGAGGGGAGCAATCATGAGGGGACACCCGCGCCACGAATGCCACATCTCCACACCGACAACGAATACTGGCCCTTCTGCTACGGCGTGGGGGCGGCTGGCCTGCGCCAGTTGGCGGCAGGCCAGGCACAAGACGGAGCAATGAAACCGTCAGCCGCCCCCGCGGCGTCAGCGTAGGATCACCGCCAGGCTCGAGTGCAGCCCCCCGACGGCACAAGACCATGTGGATGCCGTCACAAAAGTTGATTAGTTTTCCCTCCTTCTCGATCTGCCGAGGGGCCAGAACCTAGTATTGTGACGCCTACTTATGCCAGATCCCTTCAAAGAGTACCAGTTCGCAAAGACTATCTCGGACGCCTAGTTTTACCCGAGGGGGTCGCAGGGCCGTCTATGGAAACATTCGCTTCACCAACCGCCACATTCGGCTCAAATGCCGACGCGCGTTGACAAAACGAGTCGCCGGTCTACCCCCGAAGATCTGCAGCTGACACCGAAACCCCAGCTGGAGCCGAAGCGGTGATTCTGGGGAGGGAGTGCGCTGCCGCCCCCCGACAAACTTGAACGCTTAGAGGATGGCCGACCCGAGCACAATTAAGAGGACACCGCCCCAGCAGCATCGACTATACCCCTACCAATTGGCACATAAGAGGGCGCCCCGAATGAGATTGATGTTAGCTGCGTCCTTTGCCTTCGTCCCCCGAAGCACACCTCCTGCTGGCCCAAGATCCAGGCGGGGGCAATGCACCGCGGCCAGAACTGCGAACCAGGGGAGGAGAGGAGCGGGAAGGCAGAGGAGAGGAGGGAAGGAGAGCTTGCAGAGGGAGAGAGGAAGAGGGGATGAGCACAGACCCACCACAGCCGACCCCCCTCCCCCAGGGTGGGGCACAAGCCCCCAGCCTGGGACGAGGAAGACGCGTTTCCGACGAGCGGCCACGAGGAGGTCTTTGCATCTGCTCGTCACCTGTGCTGGCCATGTCTCCGCTCACCCAACCGATAAGGAGCTGGTGTACGTGCTGGCGGCGAGGGAGGCGGCGCTGCCGCTCAAGGCCTATTCGCCCGAATTGATGGTCACACCAGGAGCGCGCGGCGGGTGTTGACAAGCGTGGGATCTGAAGGCCTCTCCGTCAGTCGACGAGGAGAGAACGGCACAGACATAAGTTTTAAGAGCTCCGCGAGGATTTCTTGGGTCGGCGGTGGGCCCCCCTGGCGCCGCCTCTGGCGCCGCCCCTGGCGCAGCCCCTGGCGCGGTTCCGCGCACCAGGAAGGGGGTGAGCGATCCAAGAGATCCGCGCATATCCTCGAAAGTTTGTGTTTATTATGCAGTCGTTTCTAATTTTAGACTGGGCTGCGTTCCAGGGTTCATTATGATCCGATCGATCCGGGTCGATATCGATGTTGGTCCGTTCGGTCTGGTTGGAATTCGATATTCTGGCGATTTGGTACCGTCCGATGCTTTCATGGCGCCTTTGCGCATCCTGGCGCGGCCAATCCGATTCGATGTCGACCCCGTGCTGATGCAGCCACATCTGGTGCAATTTGCGATTCGATCAGATTTCCCGATTCGATGTTGACGGATCTTGCGCTCAAAGTGAACAATCCCCCCTCTCCTGCCGCCTCTTGGGCCCACCCCCGGGGCATCGAAGACGGCATGTTTTCTTCCCGACCAGATGGTCCAACACAGTAAATGATTAGCGAGGCTGTGCATGCAAATTCTTACACAAACCCACATCTACACATTTTTTAGCTGGCGTCGTGGCCCCGCGCGCAGCGGCGCGGCGCAGAGCAAGTCGATCGAGAGGCGCGCGCGGGCCGGCCCAGATCACGCGGCGTGGAGATATTGGACCCGCTTGTCGCAGCGTCATGAGACGTCGCTTGCAGAGTGCAATGGAGCTTGCAGTGCTGTTGACCCGTGCTTGACCGGAATATTTTGGTCCAAGCGACTGACGTCGTAGCGGCGGATGGGAGATTTCCGCTGGTTCACAATCCCCGCAGCTGCAGACACCGATACATCAAGCATATTTGGCGCCGATCGTCGCGTGACGCCGTGTGCCCTGGCCATCTCGACCGCTGCCAACGCGTGCCTTTCACGGACCGACGTCAGGGGAGCGCCTGTTGCCCGTGCTTGGTCTCCGCGTTCGTGCTGCTCGGGGGTTCGTGCAAACTGGAATTGAAGCGGGCCGTGTTCGCGTCGGTGGCCGAGCATTTCGCCAAGGCGGCAGGCACAGCGAGCGCTCAACTTCCATGAGGGCATATATGAGGAGGTTATCGACACGACTGGCGTCGCTCATTTCAAGCAAGCTGGATTCAGAGGAGGCCGCCCACCAGGCAGTTCAGGCGGCAATTTGTCTACCAGTTAGCCAGCAGGCCGAAGGGCGACGTGCTGCTGGGGGAGCTCGGCGGCCATGGCGGCGGGCGAGACCGCGGTCGATATCCTCGGGCCTTCAGCGCGGGGCTGCCGGCGGCGCCTGGCTCGGAGGCGGGGGGGCCCCCGTGCCGCCTGGGCCCGCCGAGGACGCCGGCGCGCTCGCGATTCTCCGCGACGCTGCGGGCAGACGTTCCCGCAGCTTGCGGAGTGTGGCGGACGCCTCGGAGAAGAATGACTTCGACGACTGGGTGTCCTCGGGCCCGCGGGCGACGCTCTTCGTGGTTTCGGAGATCGCGAAGACGAGCGGAGAACCGTTGCAGCGCCGCACTATGTGGAAGCACGAGAAAAAGCTGAACGACGACGAGCACAGCGCGGTGGTCCCCGAGATGGTGTCGGAGATCCTGGAGCTTGCGCGAACCTACGACCAGGTGGACGTGGCCAACCTGGCGAGCATGGCGGCGCTGGCCACCACGTGCACTTCTTGGAGCACAAGATCAAGAAGAAGAAGAATAAGGACACCGTCAAGGATAGCTATGCGCTACCACCTCGGGCGCGCGCGTCGCGCCCGGGGCGCGATCGCGAGCCCAGTTTGGCAGAGGTCGGTGGCCGAGTCGGCGGCAAGGGGCTCAGCCTCGTGCGCGGGGCGGCGGATGGCCAGCGGCGGAGCGCGCGTCGGCGCGGGCTCTTCCGAAGAAGTCATCGCGGGCTTCGAGGCTGTGAGCTGGCCGAACCCAGCCGGCACTTCCAGGCCGCTGGAGCGCGCGGGGCCGAGGGGCTTGCTGTCCCTACCCACGGCGCCCCCGCGCCCAGCCCGGGGCGCGCGGTCGCGGCCGCGCCGCGCGGCCCAGAGGATCGGTCGGAGGACTGCCGTTGGCCGTCGCGCGAGCAGCTGCGTCGCCACCCTATGCAGCTGGCGCGGGGAGGGCGACTTTTGTTCCAGGGCCTGGCCCCCAGAAGGCGCAGTTCTCCGCTGTGAACATGCTCTGGCGTGCCGTCGCGGAGAGCGAGCGAGGTCCCCAGCCCCGCGGCAGCCTTTGAGGAATTGCTCGGCCTTTGTGGCTAGGGTCGCAGCCCAGACGGCCCCGCTGCGGTTGCGCCGCGCGATCGCGATTTGGCTTCGCGGCCCGAGTCGGCGGGCTGCGCGCGTTTGCAGAGGGCGCTGCCAGAGCCAGATCACCAGGGGGTGTTCGACGGCGAGCGTTCGCCGCTGCTTCGCACCGAGGAGATTTGCCCAGAGGCCACCCGGGCCCATTAGGATAGGACCTTGCTCGCCAACACAGACGAGCACATCAAGTTTGTCCGAGGCCTCATCACGCGGGGGATGGTCGCGCTGCGGTTTCGTCGCGGCGTTGAAGCGGGAGTCTCCCATTCGAAGAAAAACCCAGGGCGGCCCGAGCCGCTCGTGGATGCCAGGGCCGCGAATCAGTCGCAGAAGCGCCGGCCCCCCTCGGGGGCGGCCGAAGGGGGGGCGGTGACCAGGGGGGGGATATCGTGGCGGGGGCCATGATATCTCACCAGATTTCACGGCGCCTCTTGGGCCGCGAGGTGGACGCAGCGGGCCGATCGCGAGCTTCTTCGGCGGGGCGGACCCGGCGGCGTCGAGAGTGAGCTGGTGGGCCGCCAGATCGCGACGGGGGCGGGCGCCGCGCCGCGCCTCGCGTCGCGCGCGCGGACGACGAGGTCTCCGTCTCATCGCGACCGGGCGCCACGCGCGCGGCCGGTAGGCAGGCGGCGAAGGCGGCGTCCAGCGCGGGCCTGCCCTCGCACGAGGTGGGGGAGAGCATGTCTGCGGTGGAAGCTCCGAGCGCAGTGCATGACCGCCGCCGCCAAGATCGGGAGTCATCAACGGTGCGATCTGGTGCAGGTTTGCTCTGGCGAAGAACCCGCAGCCCCCCTCCCGCCTCCGCGGGCGACCAGGCGAAACATAATTCATCAAAGCACGCGCGTCGGTGGCGCATGCAATTTTGGTTGCAGGGAAGTCCGATTTTCATGCGCCACCACCAAGAAGTGCTGCGTCTGCTTCGAGAACCCCATGTCACGGCGCCCGCGCGCTGCGCCGCGCCCCCTCTCGCCGCGGCGTCGCAGCATCGTCTGGCATGGCCCTGCCCATACTAATTTCTGCTATAAATCATTGCTGCGCGCGGTGGTGGTGCATGGGCGTTGGCCTCGCAGGAAGCGCCGGGCCCGGAGCTGCTGCGCGGCCTTCAGCTCAGGGCAAGGCTGGCGCGCGCCAAGCGCTTGCGGCTCGGGCCGGGCACCCGGGCGCCGCTCGTCGGCGGCGCGTGGCGGGGCGAGCGGTGGAAGGGACGGTCGACCACCTCGCGCGCGCCGCGGCGCCTGCGCCGCCGCGTGCCTTCGCGGCGCCCCAGGAAAATAAGCAGTTCGGCTGCCCGATCGTCGCCGCGGCCCGACGGGGCTGCTGGAGGGACCTTTGCCCCGTGGCTGGCCAACTGCAGCGGGCGCGGGCCCGCCGCGCCGCTCCTGAGAGGCCCGACGGGGCCACTCGAAGAGGTCCCTCGGCGGGGGGCGCGCGGGAAATGACGTCCTCGGGCAGCGGGGCCCCCGCTGCGTGAGGCCGGCAGCCTCGCGGGGGTGGTGCTGGCGGCCGCGTCTCGGGGCGGCATCTCGAGGCACCTCGCAGCGGCGGCGCAGATGTGACGCCTGGGGCGTGTCTGCGCTGCCATTCATGTCGCGCGGTCCGACTGCGCGCGAATTCGCGCAGGCACCTTGGGCGCCTCGGTTCGCTCTAAGAACGCCCTGGGCGTTTTTGATTGTTTTATATCTGGGCCCCCTGACAAGCTGAACGCACCCAAAAAACGCAGCGTTGTTTCTAAGTCAAAATAGCGCGCGTAGGGTTGTTGTTTATGGTGTTTCTTTTTGCGTTTTCGAGCTGACAGCGTTGAAATAATTTAGAGCGCTAAAACATCGCAGCACGTGTAAAACGTCATTAGTTTGGTCGAGACCTGCAGTCGCATAACACAGCGATTTCCAAGGCGCCGAGCTGAAAACGTATAAAAAAACACCCTGGGCATATTTAAGGCGAGCAAAGTTGGGCACGCCCCCGTCGAGCTGCGTCGCCCGGGCGCTCTGTTTGGGCACCGGCCCCGCGCGCGCCGGGTTCTGGAGCGCGCGGCCCCGCGCGCCTTCAGGGCCGCCTGCGACTCCATCAAGAGGCGCTGCAGGGCGTCAGTGGCGCTGCGGCCCTCGGCGTGGCAGGGGCGCGCCAACGCGCCCCACTTGCCGCCGCTGTTTTCGGCGCGGTTCGACCTCCGGTCCGGGCGGGGCACTTGCTCGGGCGCGACGCCCCGGAGCTACGCCGCGCGGGAGGCCGACGCGGAGTCGCCAGGCGCCGTTTGGGGGGCAGGGGCGTCGACCGAAGCGAGCGGCGGCGTTCCCGCATCGAGACCGCCAGGCGCCCGCGCGAGATGGCGCTGGTCGAAGTTTCGGAAGATGAGTCTCAACGACCATTGCTTCATCGCGATAATCCCGATCATCCCGACATCGAGGTCAGCATCGATGAAATTCCAAAAGGATTCATAGATAATGCCGCGTGGAGACCCGCCCGCGCCAAGAGGCGCCGCGGGCAACCGATCTCAGAGAACTTCGGGCAGTGCTTTTCGGGCGGGGGAGGGTGCGTCGGCAAGCTAGGTTCTATCGTCATCGTCATTTCTTCTCAAGCGACAGCATGGGGGTGGTCTTGGGCCCCGACGCG